GAGTTTACCTGGAGAGAGTTCCGGGGGTCAACGCCCCCGCGGCCCGGTCTGTGACCAGGCCTCCTGGTGGATCAGAGCCTGATCAACCAGGCTGTTGCTGCTGGCTGCACGCAAACCAACGTACGAGCCACAGCCCGGCTGGTCAGGAACCGACTTTAGGTGCTTGTCCAGTGCCAGCTTGCAAGTTCGGTACTAGTCCCTCTAGGATTTTCCAGGTGTATATAATCATGTTAGGTAAGGTTAGGTTAGGTTAGGTAAGGTTTGCCAGAAAACAGGACAAGTATTTGAAAGATAAGACATATGCAACATCTGGATATCTTTATTGTAGACGTTTCGCCATCTAGTGGCTTTATCAATGCAGATTCTAGGACATAATTGGAAGTCAGTAGAACTATATACAAAAGATGAGGTAATCAGTCCCTCAGCCTTGGAGTTAGTGTTCACAGCATCGTGGTGGAGGAGAATCTGGAGCAAAGATCAGATCAGGACTCACAGGTAAGGACCCACGAGGGGCGAGGGGCAAGTGGAGACAGTGCGAAGAACAGATGGTGAGAGGAATGTCTTGAGTCGAAGAGAGAAGAGTCAGGACTAGACCCAACAGCTAAGCAAAGGCAAGAAGACTGGCGGTTATATAGGCGTCAGTGGATAAGGACAGCAGCAGTTTTAGTTTAATATGTTTATTATGCACCCCATACCCATCCTGTGGGCGGTAGTCAAAAGATTACAGAGGTACATAATTGGTCCAGGGACTGGACTCCAAAGTTTTGATAGCTGAGCAAGTTACAAAGGTAATGAACTAGATCTGGTCATAATCATGACCAAGTTACAAAGGTAATGAGCTCCAGGTTGAGCTGGTCACTCATGAATAATTGCAAAGGTAATGAATCATAAACACATTAATCATGAGAATTTACAAAGGTAATGAGCTCCAGGGTAGAGCTGGTCACAATCATGACAAGTTTCAAAGGTATGAATGAAAAACACGTTATGCGATTACAATCTAACAAATTAGAAATGAGCATTTAAACAAACTTAGTGGGAATTTCCATTCCCCCAACAACAGATTTTGCAGGTGCCTGTCTCTCCTCGGCTGACAGCCTTGGCAAACCAGCAAGTTTGACCAGGGATCTGCTGTTTCCACGAGCACCATCGACCCTCCCCAAGGGGTCCAAAAACCCAGTCTCCGTTAGCACCCCATGAGAGCTGTCCGGGGACATGTCAGCCCCTGGTGGAGCCAAGTTGTTTGAAGACCCAGGCCCTCGTGTGTACGGATTTAAAGCTTGGGGAAACGAGTACCACTGCCTTGGCACACCGGGCAGCTGCCTCGCGGTCAAACCAAACGATGCTGTCCCTGAGAAAAAGTTCCTGGACCCCGGCACTCCCGCATGCCACGCTACTCGTGGGTTGGGGGAAAGTACCCCAAAAAGATGGGGTGCGCGGGGAGTTGGGTGGGTGAGGCGGGGAGACGGGGGGGGGTGGGGCGTTAGAGAGGGTCACTGACGGGGCAAAGTCACTGAAGGGGGGTTTCCCCAGTGGAAGGGGTCCTTCCAAAGAGAGGGTTATTTGTAGCAGCCGTAAAGAAGGTTTTGTAGATGTCCTCGAACCAAGTTTAAAAATTATAACTCAGACGCGGGTCTGAGTCAATAATGACCCGCTTTTTTGGTCATTGCCCAGGGCCTCCACTGGCTTACCAGTCCCCCCCTTTAAAAAATATGGAATGACCCAAACCATTTTCTTCTTTTCTCGCCTTTGTGTTTAAAAAGCTTGACCCCTTTTTCTATTTCCCCCCCAGATTTGGGGAATTTTTTTTTTCCCGGACATTGGGGGGAGGATTACTGAGAAGTTCGTCGCCCTTAACTTCAGCAAAACTAAATTTTGGCAGGAACGTGGTTTACTCAGCCCCGTTAATTCATTCAAAAAGCAGGACAAATTTTCAGTTTTTGTTAAAAATATATATTTTTTCAAACTTTTTGCTTTAGTGATTGGGGTAGTATTTACATTATCAAATTTGCTGCCGAAGCCACGTCGGAGCAAAGAAAAAGTGCAACTAAAGTGATATTTTTTTGTGGCAAAGTTTCGTCTCCGGGGCTTTTTCAAGCTCCCGGGGGCGGGCGTTGCCCATAAAAGTCACATTAATTGCACTTTTGTTCTTTTACCTAACATATTGTCGGTTATTCTACTAACATAAAAAACGCGGGTCGCAGAAAGGTACAGGTCAGTAATCAAATCACATTATTTTTACATTTTGGTTAAAATTTTCAAAAAAATTTGGTGATCCCGGTGATGGGTTTTTGGCAAGGCTTGTATCCCTTCCTCCCCTTTCCCTTGATCAAAACTCTCACTGTGTGGGCCATGCAAGGACCCTAATGGAAATGTCACAGACTTTTTTTTTTGGGTTTTCTTAAGTGATTTACACGTTTTCTATGTATGATATTTGTAATTACCGAAATTTGTATAATACTTGTGTACCTTACCTATAAAAACTTAAAAATAACTTGCTAAAAATTAAAAAATAAACTTATTAGTAAAAACCCCGGGGAATAAGCTTTAACACACTCCTGCTTTCTACAAGTAAATTTATTTAGGTACGGTAACGAGGGGACAGTTACACAAATTTTTGGGGATTATATTTACAAAAATAGTAACGCAGGTGCATATTACTTTGGATAACCCAAAAAAGTCAAAAACGTGACTTTTTTCCCCTGTGGCCGGCAGTGGCCCCCACAGTGCTCATTCTCATCCCAAGAAGGGGGGGAAAGTGACTTTTTTCCATTGAGGCCCTTTAAAAGGGGAAAAAAGTCACTATGATTTTTTTGGGGGGGTTTTCCCTTTTTTTTGTTTTTTTTTTTCCTATTTTTTTTTTTTTTTTTTTAGATTTTTTTACAAGTGGCTAGTTTTTTTTTTTTGTGGGAACCCCATATCCCTCCTGTGGACGGTACCGAAGGCATTGGGTACACAAAAGACCTAGGAACTAGGCCCCCAAAAGGGTTAACGGAAAAATAGGATTTATATTACAAAACATGTTATTATTGTTTTTCAAGCAAAATTTTGGAAAATTTTCTTTGTATATCTGGTTCTTATTTTTTTAATAAATATCTTGACGTCACCCCTAGGGTTATTATACTGTCTGTCTCTGTATTCCTCAATAAGTGGACAATTAAGCAATGTGTTCAAAACAGTGACCATATGCCTGATCACATAATTTACATTTAGTTTGATCATCATCTGTGTGTCTCCCAAACTGCCAGAAGTACTTGTAACCAAGCCTAAGCCTGGCCACTACAACATCAGTCAGTCTGTTCACATTGCAAGTTGCTCCATAAACATACTTATCTACGTTCATGTTATCATAGTGGGTTATAGATCTACTCAGGCTTCTAACTGCATTCCTATAACAATCATTTTCATTATTTACTTCTCTCCAAATATTATTCCTAATGCTAGACACAGTTATACCAAAGTTATATTCTACATTTCTCCTTCTCGATACTCTTCTTGGCTAACATATCAACTTTATCATGAAGGAGTAATCCAATGTGTGATGGGATCCATAGCAATTGTACATTAATTCCTTTGTCCCAAATTTTTGAGTATCTATACCTGGCTTCCCCAATGAGCATGTTGTTGGAGTCATTATATGAGCCAAGAGCCTTCAATGATGACATAGAATCAGTAATGATGATAGAGTCAAGCTCAGTGTCATAGGTTAGCTTTAGCGCCATTAGGATTGCAAACAATAAACTTACTTACTTATATTTAAAGCTATCCAAACATTTCTTTGAAGCATTATTATTATTATTATTATTATTATTATTATTACTGTTTTTATTTGGGGACTGAGGGAATTTTGGGGGGCTGACTGAGGGAATTTTGGGGTCTGAAGGGGGCTTCAGCTCCCCCTTGTTGGTACCACTGCACCTTGCTGATGCTACCTGGGAGTTTGCTTCATTCATCAGTAACTCTGTTACCAAACCAGTACTTCCCAATATCTCTTCTAAATTTTCCAAACTTGAATCCAGTTCTGCAAGTCCTGTTATGGTTAGATGTTTTCATCATGTTGTTTATGTCACCTTTATTTATTCATTCTACCTTATGGGTTTGGTGCTTAAATTGATTATATTCCCATTTGCCATCTTTACACCTCAGTCATATACCCTTTCCCTAAGTGCTGTATGACCCCCTATGGGTTGAGCACTCCCTCCAATTAATGTAATAATAATGTATGTAAATTATTATGAAAAAGAATTGTAAGAATGTAAATTTACATCAAGAACCTTATTGAAAAGTAGGTCACTAGATGAATGCCATGTGTTGAGATTTACACTCTATATTTTGTGTCAGTAGAAGATTTTTTCAATCAGAATAACCCAATAAATCCATTGTTATAAGACTGGCTTTTTTCTATTGGGATCCTTTAATCCTCATCCTAAAGATTTAACCCTACAGTAATTAGTGGTAATAGTTTACACTTGCTGCCCAGAAGATTGTGGCCATTAACTGTAAATTCAAATTAAAAAAATCAAATCTTTTAATTCTTTTATGCAGTATGTATGCAGATAATGTAGTTTACATGTGATAAAATATTGTTAGGCATGAAAGAAAGCCATTAGCATGCAGTTTTTTTATGGTTGAGATATTTTCTTGTGCAAATGATAAAAGATGTAACCAAACCTAACAAAATCCACCTTAACCAACTTAAAATAACGTAACATTAACCTAATTTTACCCCTACCATTGATAGTGGTGCATGACATGACTCAGTCCCATGCAGCCAAAATTAATGTACTCCTTTTGCTAATATCGCCCTAACTAACTGCAAAGTAGTAATCGTAAACCTTAGCCAGGCCGGCTAACACTCAGGCTCCTACTTACTGCCAAGGAAACTGTAAGAAACCAACACTACCTCATGTTCCTTTTCAGCAAAAGGCCAAAACAATTGAATATAGTAGAAGCATGTAAGTAAAACTAACTTTGTCTATTAATGTCTTAAAAATTGACAGGACCCCAATGAAGATACAGAATGGAATGACATTCTCCGGAAAAAGGGAATCTTGCCACCAAAGGAACCAGAGGTGACTGAGGAAGCTCTGGCTGAAATGCTGGAGCAGACTATACAAGAAAAGCAGAGTACAGGTGAGATAATGATCTAAATATGAAGCATGTAAATCTTGAAGACAGACTGGCTACTGTATAATGTGCAGCACTGTATTTGTTTACATAATTTAAAGCCAAGTGTTTATAAATGCATGCTAATATTTGTTTACTTTGTAATACTGTATGTTGCTATAATTTTCTTATACACATAATGAACCATGTCAAAGTTTGTATAGAGTTCATAGCTTTAGCAGCTTTCTAAAGTACTGTAAATAAAATGTCTTCATTTTAAATTTATTAATTAGAGGCAAGATTAGGAAAATTGTCACTTGATGAGTTGGATGAACTGGAAGATGATGAAGATGAGGCCATCCTTCTTGAATATCGTCGGAAAAGAATTGCAGAAATGAAGGCTGAAGCAGCAATCTCCAAGTTTGGGGAGGTAAGTGGATTTCTTCAATATATTCTACGTACATTTATCTATACTATATACTGTGCTGTACTGTAATATACTGTACTGTTGTATACTATACCATATTATACGTACTTATTTTTTTATTAACACATCGGCCGATTCCCACCAAGGCAGGGTGGCCCGAAAAAGAAAAACTTTCATCATCATTCACTCCATCACTGTCTTGCCAGTGGGGTGCTTTACACTAGAGTTATAAAACTGCAACATTAACAGCCCCCTTCAGAGTGTAGACACTGTACTTCCCATCTCCAGGACTCAAGTCAGAAAAGTGGCAGATGCAGTTCAATGTAGATAAATGCAAGGTTCTGAAGCTCGGGAGTGTCCATAACCCTAGCACTTATAAGTTAAGTAATGTAGAACTTAGCCATACAGATTGCAAAAAGGACTTGGGGGTTATGGTAAGCAGCAACCTTAAACCAAGACAGCAATGCCTAAGCGTACGTAATAAGGCAAATAGATTACTGGGATTTATATCAAGAAGTGTAAGCAACAGAAGTCCAGAGGTCATACTGCAGTTTTTACATCATTAGAAAGGGGCCTCACCTAGTTTAAATGCAGCTAAATTTCTGGTCTCCATATTACAGAATGGACAAAAATTCGTTAAAAAAACATTCAGCGTAGGATGACTAAATTAATACATAGCATTAGAAATCTTCCTTATGAAGAAAGATTGAAGACTCTTAAGTTACATTCACTTTTTAAAACGAAATGAGGGAAAACCTGATCGAAGTGTATAAGTGGAAGATAGGTATTAATAAAGGGGATATTAACAAGGTCTTGAGGATATCTCTCCAAGAGAGAACCCGCAGTAATGGATTTAAATTAGATAAGTTTAGATTTAGAAAGGCCCATGGGAAAGTTTTGGGTTTTGGGAAATAGGGTAGTTGATGAGTGGAACAGTCTACCTAGTTGGGTTATTGAGGCTAGGACTTTGGGTAGTTTCAAATTTAGGTTGGATAAGTACATGAGTGGGAGGGGTTGGATTTGAGTGGGACTTTCACATCGGAGCTTGTTTCTTGGGTGGCATTGAAAATTGGGTTGGGCAAATGTTTTGTTAGTGGGATGAATTGTAAAGGACCTGCCTAGTATGGGCCAACAGGCCTGCTGCAGTGTTCCTCCTTTCTTATGTTCTTAAGTCTGGCCTGCCGGTTTCCCTGAATCCCTTCATAAATGTTACTTTGCTCACACTCCAACAGCACATCAATTATTTAAAACCATTTGTCTCCATTCACTCCTATCAAATATGCTCACGCATGCTTGCTGGAAGCCCAAGCCCCTTACACACAAAACCTCCTTTACCCCCTCCAACCATTCCTGCCTTCCCTTCACTACAGATTTATACACTCTCGAAGTAATTCTGTTTTGTTTCATTCTCTTTACATGTTCGAACCACCTCAACAATCCCTCCTCAGAACTCTGGATAATAGTTTTGGTAATCCCACACTTTCTTCTAATTTCCGAACTACGAATTCTCTGCATTATATTCACACCACACATTGCCCTCAGACATGACATCTCCACTGCCTCCAGCCTTCTCATTGCAACATTCATCACCCATGCTTCACACCCATACAAGAGTGTTGGTACAACTATACTCTCATACATTCCCATTTTTGCTTCCACGGACAAAGTTCTTTGTCTCCAAAGAACTATACTATACTATATTCTTTTTTTTTTTTCAATAAGTTGGCCGTCTCCCACCGAGGCAGGGTGACCCAAAAAAGAAAGAAAATCCCCAAAAAGAAAATACTTTCATCATTCAACACTTTCACCTCACTCACTCATAATCACTGTTTTTGCAGAGGTGCCCAGAGTACAACAGTTTAGAAGTACATTCTTCTTCTTTCAACACACCGGCCGTATCCCACCGAGGCGGGGTGGCCCAAAAGGAAAAACGAAAGTTTCTCCTTTTACATTTAGTAATATATACAGGAGAAGTGGTTACTAGCCCCTTGCTCCTGGCATTTTAGTCCGGTTATATAAAATAACCGGTTTCCCTGAATCCCTTCACTAAATATTACCCTGCTCACACTCCAACAGCTCCCAGGTCCCAAATTCCATTTGTCTCCATTCACTCCTTTCAACACGCTCATGCATGCTTGCTGAACCCAAACCCCCCCCCCCAAAATCCCCCTTTTTCCCCCCCCCCCAACCTTTTACCATTCCTCTAAAAACCAAACCACCTAAAACCCCTTCAGCCCTCTGACAAATATTTTTATTACCCCACCCCCTTCTCCAAATTTCCACACTCCAAATTTTTCTCAAAATTTTTACACCACACATTGCCCTTAGACAGGACCTCCACTGCCCCCAAACGCCTCCTCGCTGCAGCATTTAAAACCCCAACTTCACACCCAATAAGAGTTTTGGGTACTACATATTACTTTCATACATCTCCCCAAATTTTGATATCCATTTTTCTTACAACTTTTTGATACTCTCTCACCTTACCCTTTCTTGTTCACTTTCAACTTTCTATTTTTACACACACTCCCAAATTCTCCACTAACCTTTGCTTTTTTTTCTTAGAATCTCCCATAACCACATACCCAGCAAAAAGAAACTTGTCACTTCCCATTTTGTTTTAATTCCCACAATTTAATCCCCCCCTCTCCGAAAACCCTAGCTTTACTTCTGTTACAACTTCTATCTATAAAATATTAAAAAACCCATGGTGACATTACACTCCCTGTCTAAGACCTACTTTTACGGGAATAGTCTCCCTCTTTTCTACACACCCTAACCTGAGCCTCACTATCCTCATAAAAACTCTTTACAGCATTTAGTAACTTACCACCTATTCCATATACTTGCAACATCTGCCACATTGCTTCCTATCCACTCTAATCATATGCCATTTCTAAATCCATAAATGCATTAAAAACTTCCCTACCTTATCTAAATACTGCTCACATATAGCTTCAATGTAAACCCCTTCATCTACACATCCCCTACCCACTCTAAAACCTCCTTGCTCATCCACAATTCTACATTCTATCTTACCTCTAATTCTTTCACTGATAACCCTACCGTGCACTTTTCCTGGTATACTCGTAAACTTAAATTCCTCTTAATTTTTTAATCTCCTTTTTTTCCCCTTCCCTTTATATAAAGGGACTATACATGCTCTCCGACAATCCCTAGGTACCTTCCCCTCTTTCATACATATTTTTTTTTTTTTTCAACAAGTCGGCCGTCTCCCACCGAGGCAGGGTGACCCAAAAAAGAAAGAAAATCCCCAAAAAGAAAATGCTTCCATCATCATTCAACACTTTCACCACACTCACACATAATCACTGTTTTTGCAGAGGTGCTCAGAATACAACAGTTTAGAAGCATATACGTATAAAGATACACAACATATCCCTCCAAACTGCCAATATCCCAAACCCCTCCTTTAAAGTGCAGGCATTGTACTTCCCATTTCCAGGACTCAAGTCCGACTATATATATGAATCCCTGAATCCCTTCACTAAATATTACCCTGCTCACACTCCAACAGATCGTCACACATATATTAAACAAAAATACCAACCATTCCAACACTGTCCTCCCCTGCTTTTAACATTTCTGTCATGATCCCGTCAGTTCCACCTGCTTTACCCCCTTTCATTCTATGTAATGCCTCACTCACCTCCCCACACTCACATCCTGCTCTTCTTGACTCCTAAAAGATGGTATACCTCCCTGGCCAGTGCATGAAATTACCGCCTCCCTTTCTTCGTCAACATTTAAAAGTTCCTCAAAATATTCTCGCCATCTACCCAAAACCTCCATCTCCCTATCTACTAACTTCCCTACTCTGTTTTTAACTGACAAATCCATTTGTTCCCTAGGCTTTCTTATCTTGTTTAACTCCAAAAATTTTTCTTATTTTATTAAAATTTCTTGACAGTACCTCTCCCACTCTACCATCTGCTCTCCTTTTTCACTCTCTCACCACTCTCTTCACCTTTCTTTTACTCTCCATACACTCTGCTCTTATAACACTTTTTGCTTTGTAAATACCTCTTATAAGCTACCTTTTTCCCGTTTTAAAACACCCTTACTTCATCATTCCACCAATCACTCCTCTTTCCTCCTGCACCCACCCTCCTATAACCACAAACTCCTGCCGCACATTTTATACTGCATTTTTAAAACTATTCCAACCCTCTTCAACCGCCCCCCACTACTCATAAACCCGCACCACCCACCTTTCTGCCAATAATTGCTCATATTTCACCCGAACTTCCTCCTCCCTTAGTTTAAAACACTTTCCACCTCCCTTTTACTTGTTACCATTTTCTTTTTATCCCATCTACCTTTACTCTAACTGTAGCTACAACTATATTAAT